GGTGGCTCAGTCAGTTGGGCATCTGACTTCAGTTCAGGTCATGACCTTGCAGTTTGTGGTTTCAAGCCCCACATCAGGCTCTGTGCAGACAGCTCAGAGCCTGAAGCCTACTTCAGATTCTGTGTCTCCCTCTCTCTCTGCCCTTACCCTGCTCATGCTCTGTCTCTCTCTCTCAAAAATAAATAAACATCAAAAAAAAAACTTAAGACTTATTTATAGTGACCTTTTGTAATATGTACATGTATCAAATCATTATGTTATATACCTTAAGCTTATACAATATTGTATGTCAATTCTATCACAATAAACTGGAAAAAAGTTTTCAAAAACTAGAAATGTCCACTTTAGAGTGGAGATCCTCCCTGGGATAGATGGTGAGTGACTTATCAGGGATGCCACCGAGGGGACTCCTACCTTCAGAGCAGTTTAAATTAGATCATCTCTTAGTTCCCTTTTCACGGGAGATTGTGAGAGATCCTCATGGGAGGGACCTAATTAGTGATTGCACCAATAGTCATTAGAAAACCATGCTTCAGGAAAGAGTTTTGTGTATCAATTACTACTTCTCAGGTTACACTATCCAAGGACCAATTAAAAAAAAAAAGGAAACTAATCCAGACTTCAGAGACATCATCAGAGACCATTTGGCCCTTACTTTGACCCTGAATAAAGTATCATGAAAAATCCAGAGAGAAATATATATCTTATGTACATCTGAACTCTTTTCTCAATGACTTTTAAAAGTGAAAAATTACAAAGAGAATGGTCATGGCCATATCATTAAAATTTCCTGAAGCAGAGAGAAGAACAAAGGACTAATCATCTTTTTCAGTCAGACTATGTATGTGTGGATTCTCTCTTGAAACTGCTGGCTTTTTCTTTTTGGGTTGATTTTCTTAATAAATTTTAACTTGTAAGCAGCAGTTATGAGAATTAAAAACTCTTAAGCTTTTGAAAAGCCATCCGTTGCCTACTGTGGTAAAGGTTAACTGACTTGATTAGATAATATTGTAGAACTAATAAAATTAATACCATAGGGTATATCATTAATCTTGGTTCATATGTCTCAAATGAATATACTTGGTCACTAAGAGATCATAGCTGGGAGAATATAATTGGATCAGTGAGGAAAGGTGGAGGGGGAGAAAAAAACCCTAATTAGAGTAGACTTTTTGGACACATCATAGAGGTGGATTTCTCCTTTTGCTGCTGACTGAATGATTTATAAAAGCATTTAAACACAACTGTTTAAAACTTTGCTTTCAAAATCATAATGTTTTGAAACACAAACATTCCCGTGTATGTAAACTATAGGAAAAGATTAAAATTGCTACCGTATCTAGATATGTTCTAATAAGGAAACACAAAGACCACTTCTATTCAAGTGTATGATTATTAGAACAGATGAAAGATGAAAGCATCAGCTCTTCAGAATTGTCCATTCCGTGTTTCATTTCACGGTGAAACATTTTAAGGTCAAATAACTTTCTCTGCCTCAGATAGTTACACTTGTTTTTAGTTACGCATATATGATTGCTGAAACATTGGGTATAGTGAGAAATGCTTTAAATTTTTTGATATGAAATAGGTTATTCACTGGTAGAGATACTGATAGATCTTTTTATTTTAATGGGGGGATGGTATTTTAAAAACAAAAGGATTGGGTACCTTTTGTCAGAATACTTAAGGATGTATCTTTTAGTGTTTCTAGACTTGCCTGGGGTGAGGCTTAAAATCAAGGGCTTCAAATGTAAAAACTATTAACAAATGTTGCTTTTGAAGGAATTTTATTTTATCTAAACATTAGCTTTTTCTGTACCTCCTATCATCTAGATTGTAAATCAAGAAAATTACAAATTTTAAGGGTTACTTGGTATTATCAAAGCCAAGTCCAAAGCATTACATTATAGCCCCCTTTGAGGAGAGCCCTATAAATTTCATATCACACTGCATACTCTTTAAACTATATTGGCTGGAATTACCTACAACCCATGTCTTAGAAGGGTTTTATATGCATTTGCCACTAAGGCAGTAGTTCTTAAAATGTGGTGCCCAGAACTGCTCAGATACTTGAGAATGGAGCCTAGCAATCTGTATTTAACAAGCCCTCCACATGATGCTGGTGCACTTTGTTGGAGCTGGCTTTTCCCAAGACAGAAGTTAAAATAACCAGTTAAAGTAAAACCTTTGCATTTGTCCCTAGAGAAAAGACAGCACATAGTGGCAACTCCTCCTCTCCTTCTCTTCCTTCATTGGCTAGATATATTTCATCACACCCAACACATGCTTTCGGTAGCTTTAAGCAGACCTTGGTATTGCATTGTAGAATTCTGCAGTGCCAACAATTACGAGAGAACATCATGCCTTCATTCATGTCACTGCTAACCCTGCCATGCATGAATGCTCAAATGATTTAGAGGTTAATATCAGCAGGTAAAACATGTTCAGTAAAATCTAATAGAGGGTAGTGGCCTCTTGAGACAAAATAATAAAACTGAAAATGGAAGCAACACATAATGAATATTTGTATGTCAGAGTACCAGCTCGCATAGTAAGTACTGAAATGAGAAATTAAGTTAATATCAAGCAGGAAATTTATAATCAAAAAGTAGCAAGCAATGATAGGAAGAGGAGAGGACTGCCTTATAACTGACGAGGGCCCAGTATGGGTTTGAGTAACATTTTTCTGACTTTGTGGAATATTTCAGTTAATATTTGTTAGAGCTAAATTTCAAAGGAAGTAGTTTTACAAAGAAAAAATGACTTAAGATACTTCCCACATTGATAACCTTAAGCCTTAAAAAAAAACCCTGCTTTCCATCCACATAAAACAACTTTTTACTTGTATCTATATTGCCAACTCAATGGGAATTTTGGAATTTCAAGTGGATCAACATTAGTTTTTTTTTCAATCATACAATGAATGGCCTGTGATTACATTACTCTTATCTAAACACATAATGCAATATATATAGTACATTAGCACACTTGTTATCATAAACTCAGATATTCTTTTTCTAACATTTACTATAGCTTAAACTATGAGGTGTAAAATTTAGAATTACATACGAGTAAGTTGCAATGAAGAAAAAATTTGAAGGGGCTCTTTGGAAATCTTACTGGAATCTGCATGGAATTTTTTTTTTTTTAATCTTTGGAACTGCTGGCTCATATAGTTAGTATAAGGACTGTGAAAGGAGCTAGATGGGTGGTATCTGCCTGTATTTTTTAGTGATGATACAGATTACACATTATGTTTACTTTTCTTCATTTTCCGCAAGGTTTTGAAATACCTGAGTTCATTTTAATAACCTAGGTATATTTGGCCAGTAATGTCTGTGTTTCTTAATGTATTTGAGTTTGGAGATAAAGTTTATAGCAAAGTCAGTGATTAATATGATAATGTTTTCTTATTTCAAACAGCTAGTTAAAGGCCTTCAGCAAGAGCTGAACCGATTATATTCCCTTTTCTGTTCTCGGAATCCAGACTTTGAAGAAAAAGGGGGTAAAGTCTCAATAGTGTCACATTCCTTGGGATGTGTAATCACTTATGACATAATGACTGGCTGGAATCCAGTTCGACTCTATGAACAGTTGCTACAGAAGGAAGAAGAGTTGCCTGATGAACGATGGATGAGCTATGAAGAACGACATCTACTGGATGAACTCTATATAACAAAGCGACGGTAAAATACCTTAGTCTCTTAAAAGAATTTTAAAAGTCTTCATGGAATTACTGGACTTCTTAGGAGAAAACTGTAAGATTTTCATGATAATATTTGGAGTATGGAGAGTATTAGGTAACATGCCTAATCAGCGAGAGACAATTTTGTTAATTTTCATGCTAATTCCATGCATGTTCCAATAGCATAAAATAAATTGCTTTGTCATCATCTTTTTCCTTCCATCTCTTCTTCAGAATTTGTTAGGAGTGAAATCTAAAACTTATTCCAAGCTGAGTCACTGTGCAGAATCCTTATTGAAAATGTTTACCAGTTTGTAATCCTTTGTAATTTTTACTAATCTTAGAGATGGGCCTTTGTCTTTCTTATTATTCTGAAAATAATTTTAAATCCCTTTTCTCCTTGGCAAATGAATTTTTGGCAGATTTATAATTATTTGATCACTTGTGGCCTTCCTGATACTACCTTATAATTCTTAATTACATTCCTGTCTTCATCTATAGTTACATCCTTTATCTTCTTTGTCCTCTTAATGCATCTCATCGATTCTAATAGAACAGTAAAAAGTCACTCATTTTGATAGTTAACATCATATGAAAACAACCAATGTAGTTGACCAAAAATTTTACTCAGGAAGCCTTGGATTTGTTTTAGTCTCATAAGTAGTTGTCTAAGGATTTTATTTAAAATATTATTAAGTACTATAGGCTAGATACATATATTTTGTAATGTCAAAATAATTGATGG